TTCAGAGGGCACACACCAAAACAGTTTGGTCTGTTTTGAATGGTGTTTTGCTAACGAAACTAATGAAGTGAACACACACTGTCAGTACACAGCGGTCAGAGAATGGCATGGTTGGAAATAGCTTGGTGAACTTTTTTTGTTTGCAGCTAATGGTACTACACACACACTGATCTGTGCATCCCACTGTGCAGCAAGAAGCAAAAACACAGACACCATCTGTATAGTTATGTCATAATTGCCAGTTTAACAACTGCAAAGAAGCAGAAGCTAGTTAGCTATCTTCGTGTCTTCAGGTAGCTGCTCTGTACATCATAGGGGTGTAACGGTTCACAAACATTTTGGTTCGGTACGTACCTCGGTTTTTAGGTCACGGTTCGGTTCGGTACGTTTTCGGTTGTTAGAAATTAAAATCAATGTTGGTATGGCGTAATTTGAATTAAATACACTATTTAATTTAAATCAGTTTTATTCTGAAAAACCGGAAGTTCAATAACTATTAACTTAATACTTTTATTCTGAAAATATTCACTTCCGGTTAGCATTAGCATGTGGTGAAATGCTGCATTTTCAAACCATGAATTAAAGGTGAAATTACATGTGATGTTGTACACTGAGCACACTGGGTTTAGCACTCATTTATTACCGCTGAATAACGTTTATTAGGGAATGTTTAAATAACCACAGACACCAGAATGATATAATTTAACAACAGAAAAAGGCAGGAATTGCATTGGACCCGCCCCCGACGACGCCGGCCAATAGGAGAAGACCTCCGATGACAACAGGAAGAGCAAGCCAATAATTGACCTCTTCCACCTGCTGACCTGGACCAAGCCCCCAGGAAGTGCGCCGGAGTCTGATGAGAATATTCGTGCTGGTCAAACGGCGGTACTACACTTCCTTTTGGTTGCTGGGCCCGGAAACACTTTTTCCCATTGACTTACATTGGGAAATAGTGGTCTGTAACTCGTTGGATAATTTTTTTTAAACTAAATAAACTACCCAGTATGAACGTTTGTATAGCCCTTATTAAAAACATTCGTTCCTCAAGTTGTAAAAATGTGCTAATAACGTTATTCTGAGAGTTATTTCCCTCTGCATTATGAATCTAACCCACGGGACCGCGCCGCCCGGCACATTCATGTTACGTGTTCAGTACTACATGAGTTTCTCTTTACCCATGGATGCACAATAACAACGGACCATATCGCCTTACTGCCAGCCCACGGAGCTGTAATAATGGATATATTGCACATGTTTGCTGTAATTCATCATTTGTAAAATATTATACTACATGGGCTGTATGATGTAAATCTTGTACCGTAAATCTTGTATTAAATAAAGTTAATATTACCGACGTAGATTAACGTTCCTGTAGCTTCTTATTGCACTTGCAATTGTTTTAGTTACTTGTGGGCTACTTAACATGAATAATCACAGTTACTATCCTTTTACTCCATCACATTTCAAAAAGAAATAGGCTATTGTTATTTTAACTCCACCACAGTAATCCATCATCAGCTTCACTTTTTAGATAAAGTTTTAACTCACAATTGATCATAACAGGCTTCAACATATACATTTTTATATATTACCAAGTGGTTTCATGTACAACCCACACAAGTATCATGCTAAATGAAGCTCTGTTGCTTGGATATCACTAGATCCTGATGTCAGCGTAATATAAAAGTACATAACGATTGATGTGTAATTTAGCATAATTTACTAGCTAGCTGCTAACTGCCGCCTCGTTAATATAAATCCAGTACCATGCTGTCATGAACGCGCGGTGCTGTTACGTGTACGCAATTTCACGTGCTTAATGTGAACGAGCCTTTTGGGCGGCGTGGTTAAAGTTGCGCATGCTCTATGACTGCACATACGGGTACTTCTCAGGTATGCTGGGTAATCTGTGACGTTTCGCTCTCTCAAAAGTTGGGCCATTTTGTCATCATGCGCCATTGAGCAACTCTCATAGGAATGAATGAGGCCCCGCCTCCCACGCTGTATCCAGTTCTTATTATACATCCATGACCTGGACTGACCGGTCGGATGAGGAGAGCGCCTCCACTCGCACATTTCATTTGTACACCACCGCATCTTTTGTGTAATTAAATGCTGTTAACTTTTATAAGCTTCCCTTGACTCTTTTCAGTCTCTCCTGCCTTCGGGGTTCTAGAATACACTAACACGGTACAGCAGAAAAAATTATCACAAAACATTAAATAGTTTTAGTTTTTTTTAAATTATTATTAAACTGTGAATAATGTATTCACTCAAATAAATACAAAATATAATAAAATAAACATTAAGGTGCAGCATTTCGATGAACTGAAATAATCTGTATTTGAACTGTACTCGGCCGCTTGTATCCGCGGATACAAGCGGCCGAGATGGGTTTTCTCCGCAGGGTGGCTGGTGTCTCCCTTAGGGATAAGGTGAGAAGTTCGGTCATCAGGGAGGGACTCGGAGTTGAGCCGCTCCTCCTTCGCGTCGAAAGGAGCCAGTTGAGGTGGTTCGGGCACCTAGTTAGGATGCCACCTGGGCGCCTCCCTAGGGAGGTGTTCCAGGCACGTCCAGCTGGGAAGAGACCAAGGGGTAGACCTAGGACCAGGTGGAGGGATTATATCTCTTCGCTGGCCTGGGAGCGCCTTGGGATCCCCCAGTCAGAGCTGGTTGATGTCGCCAGGGAAAAGAAAGTTTGGGGCTCTCTGCTGGAACTGCTACCCCCGCGACCCGACCACGGATAAGCGGGAGAAGATGGATGGATGGATGAACTGTACTCTACTAGTACCTAAGCAGCCAGTTTGACATTATGACTTGCTTGTCATTTTTTTAAAGAAAAATTAACTTGTCCACATTGCTTGCCGAAAGGGCAGATCTGCTGGCACTAACAATGTCTCCTGCTGTGGAGAACACCCTCTCGCTAGGGACAGAGCTTGGACAGAGGTAGCAGATACAGCCAGGTAGCACTTTGCTAACATGGCAACATAAGGATATTTGGCGTTTGTAATAGCTTTGGCTCGGTCTGAACTCTTTGCGAGTGGTGGAGGCTTAAATGCTAGTGGGAGTTGGGTTTGCACTTCAGTCTTTTTTCTTTTGGTACCGGTGATATTCACGTTCGGGTGATGCCTTTTCAAATGAGTGCAAGTTTGATGTATTGCCAGCCGCGTAACCAATTTTAGTAAGTTGAACAATGCCGACAAACAGCTTTGGTTCGGTCCACCTGTCTTTGTCCGTCATCCTTGTACGTAACTGCGAAACCAAAATGTTCCCAAACCGGAGACTTCAATGATGCTGGAGGATTTTCGAGCTCAACTTTATCTGCGTTCGCCATTTCGACAGTTCCTCAAATTACTGACTAAATTTGAACGCATCCCTCTGACCAGCTCTCATAGTATGCTTCTCGTCCAATGAAATGACTTGGTCGCTCTATGACGCGTTGAAATTGCACTGAACGCTGCGTTCCTGCAGCCCCGCAGCATGGGCTGCAGGAACGTGCTACTCAAACGTTGCGACGCAGCACCTGAGATTACTTCCAAAAAGTTTTTCACGTTTTCAATTTTTTACGTTTAACGTTATATTCGTTCGGTACACTTCGGTACACATGTGTACCGAACCGAAGGGCCCGTACCGAATAATTTCGGTACGGGTACGTATACCGTTACACTCCTAGTACATCACTATTGCTAAACTAGCAGCATTGAATTTAGAAAGTGAACAGTTGTATTTGTCTGTGTAATAGAGCCAATATGTGAGAATATTTATTTTCTTTACATTGTGTTGATTTATTTATTAAGAAAATACATAAGACAAATTATGTAAGGTATCAGACACGCTCAAACAGATGATCTACCAGCTGAATCTCATCGGGGGAAGGGGTGGTTTACATTTACTTAAACATGGTTCAGTCACAGAGTTCTGGTTTCTACTGAGTGAACTTTTGTAGTTCCATTTTATTTAAATTATTGAGGTCATAGTCAGTGTTGGACTTGTACCACACCAATGTGTTAGTGGTTGAGGAGCCAGTTCAGTGGACTAGAAGCATTGCAGCACCGGTTGTAGTGTAGTGTTGTAGTGCGACCTACGACTTTACATTAGGCAGAGGCTTGGTCATGGATACCAACTCCTTAAGGCCTATGTGACGTCATTTGAGGGGGTCTAAAATAATTACTTTTCCTTTGAACTTCAACCCTTATCTCTAAAATAAGTATATATATATGTATACCGGCAATTGTTTTTCAAGGATAAAAGGTTAAGTTTGCCTCCCAGTGTATCATGTGGCTAAGAAAGCCGTAAAACAAGACGTAATTATTTTTGTTGGGTCAAACTGCTAAAAACAATCACCTCAATTTGAATCTGCATTATCAAACCTTTCACTTCTCTCAGAATTGATCTAAACTTGATTGCAACCGCTATGTCTGCGCAGGTGTTTAACATTAGTGACAGCCAATTCTGTAGTGAATGTTCATGATGGAGCCAGACAGAGCTGATGGCAGATGTGTGACACAGCAGCAAAGCCTCTATCTGCCCTATATATCTTTGTGCTGCGTTTAGTTTTTGGCCAAGTCTAAATGACTTCAGGGTGTGAGAGCCATTTACAGATATCAGGGTTTGAAGAAACCCAGAACATTTTGCTTCTTATCAACAAGCCCGTACACGGGCAGCGATGTGGAAGTTACACAGTTATTTTTTGACCAAGGCAAGGCAAGTTCATTTATATAGCACTTTTCAACACAAGGCAATTCAAAGCTAATCAAATAAACATTAAAAGAAAAAATACATGGATAAAAGTTACAGATATGAATAGTTCAATTAAAAGCAGCGACAAAAAGAAAAGTCTTCAGCCTGGATTTAAAAGTAGTAAGAGTTGCAGCGGACCGGCAGAATCTTCAAGCTCATGTTATTAATCAAGCACTTCACAATGTGAACCACATTCAACACACACACACACACACACACACACACACACACACACACACACACACACAACATCTTACCTATTGCGTCGCCTTGTTCATGGACCATACAGGCCAGATCCTTCATGATTTGACTTACGTCCAGCATATCTCTCTGTTGAGAAAACACAGTTACACCACTAATCAGAGTCTGTCTGACATCTCTGGAACACATGATAGATTCACCCAAACTCCTGTCCTGTCCTGTTGTGTGTGTGTGTGTGTGTGTGTGTGTGTGTGTGTGTGTGTGTGTGTGTGTGTGTGTGTGTGTGTTAACATGGCAAAATGTCCTGCAACAATGCAACTTGAATGTTAAGTGGGTAAAGATAGGCACAATAATTTATCTAATGTGGCCTTAGCTGGAAGAAAGATGCATCTGCTGAATTGAAAATGTTTAACTTTGAACAAAAGATGTAGCCTACCCTGGGGTCTAATGAATGTAGTATTATGTAGCTCATCATACAGACAGTCAGAAAATCAAGGTGAAAATGGACTTTGCCATCAAGCCTAGACACAACTTTAGAAGGAACTGACTTGATGACTTGATCATTTTAGTAGACAAGACGATTCATTACATGTTACTTGTTAGACGCTTTTATCCAAAGCGACTTACATACTCAATACTGTGGGCAATCCCCACAGGAGCAATTTGGGGTGAAGTGTCTCAGGGACACAACGACATGCTGACAGCAGTGGGGTTTGAACCTGTGACCCCCTGATCCCAACACCAAGGCTCTATCCACTGCGCCACACGCCTCCAAGTGCTCACTAACTGGTTTGGTGCCAACAGATTGTTTTTGTTTTCTTGATCAGTAAATTGTTGTGACTATAATATGTCTGCAAATATTTAACAATGCCCTTCACAGTTTCTCAGAACTTTTTTCCCAAATCAAAAGCCCCCAAACCAAAACCTCATGATATCCAGTTTACTCATTATGTAGGACAAACAATTCAAACCTTAAAATGTGAAGCCAGTAAAACCTTGCTAGTTGTGCCTTAAAGACGCAATATTTCTGATGGTCTTCTTAAAATTCATACGAGTCATCTTATATATCTCCATGAGACACAGATTAAGCTACAGTGGTTTTTGGTTGTTTTTTCTTGTCTTAGTTGGATTTGTGTTTAATCCTAAAATGTGTGTTTGGCCTGACTAAACATGAAAAGAAACTGTTCAAAGTTTTTGTTTAATTATTTCCCTCTTAGGGCACAGAGCAGACTAGTGCAGCTATGGTTGACCGCAGCTAATTCTCTGATGTTTCCAGGCTCTGGATCTGCTCTAAGTGTTTCAGCTCAAAGCAATATTAAAGCTTATAAAACCTCCGTCTATCTCCTGCTCACAGGTCGCCCTGTCCCTCCATTATGGCTCCATGCCATCACAGCTGCGTTTGTGTAGCCTAACCTGCTGGGCCATACATCACAGGTGGCAGAGATTGTTGTGGCAACTGGCAGCCATCCTGACACTTGGCAAAACACATTTGAATCGAGCCAAAATGGCCCCTGGCAAACCTTTATATGCTTTTTTTATTATTATTTGTATTTATCTTTAGGCAACCCTGTCTATCATTCTGGAATAGAGAACAGATGTATTTTACCTGGCAAAGTATTGGGCAATCAGCGCTCATTTAATCATAATGGCATGAACAGTGTGTAACCAATTTAGAAAATAGTGTGTGGAAGTGAACAGTCAGCTGGAGAGCCACACACAGGCAGGAGGTGGATATGTGATGGGAAGGGACCCCTGCCTGAGGGCTGAGTGGGTGGCCAGGCTCCGAGCCAACACTGTGCCCTTTTCCATATTTCATGGGCTTTAAATTAGGCTCATCTGGCAGTCACTGGATACAGCCACTGCACTGGGAACAAGTAATGGAGATTTCTCTATTATAATGACACCAACAGGTTTATTACGGGAGGTTTTCTTATCACCCAGGGTAAGTATATTAGCTTGGAGTTTCTGATTCAGTTCCTGTGTGGACCTGCAAACATCTTCCCAGGTGCTGTTTGGTACAGCTTTTATTTCTTCTTCCATGAGACACCGGCTAATTTCTGGTTCCAGCTTTTAAAACGTACAATGTGGACGTTTCTGATCAACATTATGTATTTGGGTCATGGATGTAAAAACAGAACTGGATACAGCGTTAGAGACGGGGACCCGTTCATTCATATGAAAGTTGCTTCTTCATAAAGCTGAAAATGGCCTGACTGTAGCCACACCACCGGACCTAAGGAGCATGCCCACTTGTGTTTTCCTTAAGCCCCGCCTCCAACGAACTGTGTCCCTTCCACTCTCAGCTTCATCAAATGTTCGGAGATGGAATATAACTTGATTTGACTTTTAGCCATTTTACAACTTTTAAAAACTCATGATTTAATTAAGGCTAATCTACGGTTCTGGGTAGTTGATTAAAAGAGAAATATTTGCTGATTTACAGAGGTCTTGGACTGACACAGAAGTTCTACTACCACAGTTTGGTCAATACGAAAATGTGTCTCAACTGCCACCCTCACTTGCTTTGGACTTGATCTTTGTCAACGATTCTACTTCCTATTTTACACACTGTAAATACTAGTGTGAGTGGGAACAACCGTTCACACAGCCTCCTACTATAGTTGTCATTCTGAGCAGTAGTTCTGAAATCTATCAGCCACTTGCTTTAAATATCCACAGAAGAGTCAACCAAATGTCTGTGAGGTCACCATCACTGGTAATTACATCTTAATTTAATCCAACGTTTACATAAATACTGTTGATTCAGCAAATTAATTTGAACTAAGTTTCTTTCTGGTTTCACTTCAACACATTAATACAAATATGAAACATGACATCAAATTAGCATTAATTATAGGGGAAGCTGTCACTAAGAAATTAAAGAACATATTTTCCCATTGTCCCCATTTTGCCAACATGGCATTAACTACAGTACACTCAGCTGCATTTCCTTAACACTGTAAGCACTGCAAGAAGCCTTTAAAGGATACACTTTGTGAGTGATTGAACCTGAACCTGCAGCAGCTCCAAGGGGGAGGGCTCTACATCTGACCCATACCTCACCTCTCCGTGAAGGGTTCATGCAAAAATTGAACTTCCGGCACATGTTTTCATAAAGTGTCACAGAACTTTCTCTGCCTTCCACGAATGGTTATGAGGTAAACTCTCTCTCAGCACTCCTGCTCACCTCTGCTGCTCCTGTGAAGCCTCCTGTCAATCCTTCACTGTTGTATTTGTTTTTGGCCGATAAACAAAACACATACTTGAAAAAATGAAAAGCTCCAAGGGTCGGTCTATTTTTCTGAGGCTATAATGTCAGACTGCAGTTCAGACATATGTTCTATGACACTGCCTGGGGCCACTGCAGAGACAGCAAAAACACAATTAACAACATCAGAAAAAAAGCCTGCCGGCAGGATCTGATTGGCACCGTGCTTCCTGCTCGCATTCCTCCAGCCATGATGATCTGTCTGATACTGCTGAGATGAACTCTTGTGGGAGAGACTGCAGCTCCATTCCAAAGCTTTGCAACCTGCAGATTATCCGATACAGGATGAGTAAAAAAGTGTCTCCTCTTTCCTGTTATTTTCATGTTACATTGAGCTGCTTCAATATCCACACAGACCATCTGCTGTCTGCTTACTTTATTCTGCTTGTGTCTTGAAAACTATAGTTACAATCAAATTACCGGTCACAGTTTGATACCTTACAAGTTATTAGCACAATTAATGTGATTCACAATCCAATAAGTGACCGGCACTAGCAGCAGGCATTAAGGAAGTGCTCGGCCCTCCCAGCGAGGGCTTCATCTCAGTTTATAGATACAAACCCTATATACAGGTTTACACAGCCAAGGGTAGAATCTCCTCTTGTGGATCATTATTATTAAGATGGCAGTATTTTTATTTCACTGTACAGCTTTTCATTTCACATTATACTTGTATTTTTATTCCATCTCACCTCTCCTGCATTACTTTTACTCATCATCATTCAGAAAAGCCCTTAATAAAGCTCGCCTTTTCACTCTCGCCTTCAACTACAGACCCTCTCCAACTGGCTTAGCAACTTTTGTTTTTTGTTGTTATTTTCTTTACTTGCTTGATTAGCGTCTTTGAGCACCAGTAAAAATGTGTTATTTATCTTGCGTTGTTGGAGGAGCCCAGGAGATTTTCATTGACCGTAAAGCCTTTGAATATTGAACCTTGTGCCTGCAGAGGGAGGTGTGGAGCAGCGGAGCCTCCAGCAGGCTGGTGAGGTGACCAGGCTTCAGCACCACGGTCTGATTAGGAATGCGAGCCACATGGAGGGAAAGTGCTGATAGACAGCATGACCCCTGAAGAGGCGTCTGGGAGATTTAAGTCGTTTTCACACCTTGTTCGCTTGGAGAAGTTACTGCGAACTCTGGAGTGCTCTCTCTCCCACTTAGTTTGCCTCTTTTGGCCAAATGAGAGCAGAGCAATCAGAGCAAGACCTCGCTGGGAAACACGTCTCTGAGTACACTCCCAAACCAAGTCCACACGTCCTCTGGACTCGGGACGGGATCTGACTGTGATCTGACTTCACAAAGCACTGGTCGCCATGCACTGTTTGTTCATGTGACTGCATCATTTACAAAAAGTTAGAGTGATCTGAAACAGGGTTCTAAACCGTCTCCTCGTCTGTGACCCTGTTCTCAAGTCCTGAATATCAAAATGAACCCAGCAGTTTTATTCCCTTCCTTTAAAACACTTAAATTGCCTTTTTTTTTCATGATTTTAATAGCATCACATTTGAAGGATGGGATACTCGTTTAATAAAAATCTATTACAATTTAATTTCAATACAATAACTCTTTAATCTATCTCTACACTAAATAACCCAGTCATGGAATACTGACTCCATGGCTGAGAAACTTTTGTTGAAACATAAAACTATGTGTAATGCATATTGAAATATTGAGTCAAAATGAGTTTTTAACTGAGCTGTACCGAAAATATATTCCTAGATGAGAAAGGATCAGAGGGACATCCCGCTACTTTATATGACAGATGTATCAAAAGGCATTACAGTTAGGCTACTGATGTTTCAGACTCATGGTGAGGGCCATAGATTACAAGTTACGTAAAGGATCAGTGTGACAGATTAAGATT